GGAGGGGGCGGGCTGCGAAGGCTGAGTCAGACTCTCCATCCGCGCGCGTCCACGTGTTTAGACACAAGGCCCCATAAACAAAAGGTGAGAGTGCGCACTGCTGCTCCCGCAGGTGAGTCAGTCAATCACACGTCACCTAGTAAAGCCAACCCACAGCTGGTTTCCCTTTTCAAATAGAAAATAGAATTGTTCAGGGCGGGTTTATAGAGTGGCACGGGCCTGAATGTCAGACTTGAGTTTAAGGCGCTCTCCTCCAACCCATCCTTTGTTTACAAAGCAATCACTGCTTAAAGGCTGATTTTTAAAAACGAATTTGCCTTAATTAAAATATTTGTGTATTTTCCTTAGCTTTGGGAAGCACTTTTATAGCAGCAATTTTATTTAAATAAAATTATAAGCTATTCCAGCTTAAACATGTTATTTTGTGCCATTTAGCTGGCTGCCATGCAGAAATTCTGTACAGCTGTTCTGGAAAATTAGTTAATAACCAGTTTTATCCAATGAGAACATAGAGCATATTTATAAAAATTAGATTTTGAAGTCTGGCCTCTTCAATTCACATCGTTAATTTCCTAATAAACATCTACTGCTCATCCTAGGTAACATCCTTAGTAAGAGACTTAACTCTATACTTGGTTTGCCATTATGTGCAAGAATAATTTCACTGATATTAGATGAGTAATTCTGTTGCTTGTACTCTGAGTCTACAGTTAGGTTAGTGCCCTTAGGCCTTAAATTTGCTGATATTAGGAGTTCATTAAGTCAGCTTAAAGAAATCAGTAACTATTATTAAATAATTTACTTTGTAGTTAAAATTTTTCAAATACGTATATATCTTAGGGAGCCAAAATTAATTTTTATATTTACTGCATTGATCATCAAAAATTTTTTTGGGAGGGCAGTAAACACATTTTTCAAGCAGTGGAGTCAGCATGACAAAAATAATCTTGTTTTTATTTTAGATTCAGATTTCATTACTGCACTCAAACGACTACAACTGGGCTTGGCGTTATTATACAATCCAAACTGTTTCCGTCAGAAACGCTAAGACTCAGTGTGCAATGATTGTTATTAATAATTAGCTCCTTGGTTTCTTGATAGAAAAAAGCTATCAACAAGCATTTGTTTATCCACAACAAAAAGTATAATTAGCTTATCCCACTTAGTAAATCTTGTATGCATGCCAACTCATACCAAACTGCTACTTTTACAAAAAAAATTGCAATAATACAGTTCATTTTTCCAGTCCTTTTTGCACAAAATTTATTTACAATGTCTACATAAATGCTCCAAGGTGGGACTATGGAAAAATACACACATGACCGATGCTTTGCTCAGAAATAAAGTCAACATATTAAAAATAAATCTTCAGTCTATGTTTTTGAGCTGCATAAAACAGGAAGTGATGTATAAGGTGGTGGTTGTTGCATGGGGACAATGACGCTTGAAGTGACAATTAGGCTTCTAAACACACGGCCTTTCGGTTTCCATGCCTCCTCCTACCAGTCTCCTTAAGACACTGCCTGCAACAGCTGATTAATCATTGTTGATGACTGCAGTTTTTCCCATCCTTCCCGATTTACATCTGTTCAGGCCAATTCAAATATGGTGAGTAAATGAATTAGACATGCAAATTCAAGCCCCAGGCTAGAGAGAAGGAGAGGGGGAGAGAGAGAGAGAGAGAGAGAGAGAGAGAGAGAGAGAGAGAGAGAACGCGCATGGCTGAAATCCTAGGCGAGAAGAAAGATTCTTCTGCCTGATAGTGATTTTAATGCTCTAAAAATCCTGCAAATCAGACCTTCCTGTCCCTTGCAGGATAACTGTAAGGCTTTTTAATGTAAGGAGGCTTCTGGAGGAAGTGAAGAGCTATGGAAACAACACACATAGTGTGGAAAAATTTCACATTTTTCTTAAAAAATCTATAAGAAACAACGTAATATGGATAACAGTATAATAGCATTTACAATATTTCACTCTTTGTTCTCTTAATGTCTTATATAGTTATTTAGCATGTCCCCCAAATTGACTTCGGTTGGTATTTCCTGCTTTTTTAAGAGTCCCTATGAAGAATTAGGGATGCTCCTTGGTCCAAAGTAGATGCCAAGAATGGAACTCCACAGTCATTGCAGAAAAAACATGATTTGAAATCAGTCACCATTGCAGACAATGCATATTCCCTTAAGCTACTGAGCATGAATGTCCATGACTTGTCCACTCATTGTTGGGTCTCCTGTATTAAGAACCGTGGGGCTTGATGCTGACATTGGCATTCCAGGGTGGGGCGGTCCTCCATGCATCATCACTGTTGGGTGGTGAGGGTGTCCAGGAATGTACGTATGCATGGGGGGCCCATGACGCAGCTGAGCAGGATGGGGGGGCATCTGGGGTTGGGTATAACTTGGCTGTCCCATACTCACACCCATTGGACCACCCCGGGCTACATATTCCCCTGGCATACTTTGCAGCCCTGTAGAAATTCAAAAGAAAAAAAACAAAAAGA